CAACAAATTAATGAATTATATGTCGCACGTTAATGTGCAATTAATATATATATATATATTGACAGCGACAGAATAAAAGAATTTTTTATTATGTAACTTGTTACTCTACTTTAATATTTTTTCTCAATTATCAATAATTAAATTACGTCTTTCAATATATATATATAAAAGAAAAGAAAAGAAAATGATCAAAATATTTTCAGAAATGGATGGACGAAAGTGATAGTAAAATATTTTCTAATAAATGATCTAAAAATTGAAAGGCAGTGGGGTGGGCATGCAGTTGTTTTCACTATGGGGGCCATTAGGTTGGTGGATGCTATGCCAATATAAAGGTTTAGCCCAAGAGATTACAGGCAGGGAAAGGAAGCTGATCATCATCAAAGCTAATGGTTGAATTAATCATAATTAATTACCATATTTAGGCTAATTGTTCTTTAATTTTTTATTGTTTTTATTGCATGAGAAAGCTTGTACATAGCTTGAAGGCCTAGAACACATTAAAGAAGCTTTAATTTAATGTTAATCAAATTCACTGCAAGGCCAACTAAATAAAAAGTGTTGATAAAAAGATGACACACAAAAAGGGCAAACAGGATTTATGGTGGATTTGTCAACACTTTAATCTTTATAGACACTAGGTAGGTAGAACACATCACAATCAAATTACTATTTTTAAGGGATTAATAAATTGACGTGGGTGATTAATTAAGTTAATTACTTACATAATTAATTTGCTATATGCACATTTAAAAATTCATTGTGCTTGCATGGGGCTGGTGACTTTTGAATATGACCTTGAAAATTACCTATAATTTTTTTATTTTTTAATTTTTGTGGGTTCATTAGATTGCCCAATTGATTGTGACAAAAAGGGGATCTCCACCGTTCAAATTAACTCATAGCCTAAGCTATATTTGTTAATTTTACAAGCTAATTAAGTGTTGTTTAAAAGGGTTTGGTAGCTAGCCGTTGTAGAAAGCAAATTATATATATAATCATATATATATGTATATATGTATGTATATTTGAGATTAATCTCTCTAACAAAGAAAAAATAAACCCAATGTTTAGATCATATGATAACGTTTCATGTTCGGGTTTTACGTACAAGAGATTTTTATGTTTCGATGCAAGAGGTCTTTCTTTAATGTTATCTTAATCTTGATTTCGGAATTGTAACTCTCCTTTCATGATATCAAAATAAAAATCTCATCATCTTTAAAAAAAAAAAGTCTAAATCATATGACAATGTTATGTTCTAAAATTATATGCGACATGATAGTATATACTTAATTCTTAATCTGGATATAGTTTTGCTCAAAAGGATAATATGAACTATAAAAAGAAAATTACCTTTGGCATACCATTTTTGTGAAAGT